AAAAAATGATGCATGCAACGAAGAAGCCAGCCTCCAAGACGCGCATGAGCATGTCATGAACACAATGTCAAGTGTACGCAGAAACAATTATGAACATGTGTCGAAGGCTCTGGTGCACAACAACATCATGACCACGCGTCGAATGTCATAGTGCATGTAACAACATCATGAACACGTGTCGAATAGCAACCATCATGAACACGTGTCGAATGTCATGGTGTATGTAACAGCATCATGAACACATGTCGTATGTCATGGTGTATGTAGCATTATGAGCAACATATGTGATTTGATAAAATGGACACAACTACACGTACGGTTTCCCATCCGTTGGCATAAACATGTAATAACTCTTTCGGTTTTGGTTTTTGACAGTGCGTCAGCTCACTTTCTCCCTGCAAACTAGCTTTCGTTCCCTCCATGCTTTGTTAATTTTTTTCGACATCAATCGTGGAACTGATTTTTGTTCATTGCTTCTCAACATTTCTTCCTCCAAACCGGCGCCGCCACTGTTCTTGGGATGCTGACATGTTTAGGTGTTTGCATGTTCAATATCAAGTTTTGAGCCATGCCAATAGTATGTCCCGAACGTGTTGGTAAGGAAATTTAACCTGCGCGGCGGCTCTTTGCTGTGAACCAGTCAACACTTCAGGACGCTACATACGTAGACCACACAAAGTCTTCATATCCTGTTTTTCCTCCATGGCCCGGATCCAGGTTGAAAACATCAGTTGCTTTCACCACTTCGTTACATGCAACGCGGTGCAAATAGGAAAGCATTTGACCCCGACTGTTTCACATGCAGGCTTGTAGAAGTGATTCCGTTGTCATGCTGGGTTGTTAGATGTCTACTCAGTGTCTGACCAAGGCCAAATGGATTCCACAAGAATAGCACCCGGTTGAACTTATTGGAGGTCGCCTATTTTTTGTGAGCCTGCTTTTTGATCTGCATATAAATTCTACGCAGTCCAACAGGAAGATGTGGAACACGTCAAGACAAACATTAAGTGATCGAACTTTCTTGCACTGCAGCAACCTTTCATCCAGAAGAAAGCAACCTACTAGCTATATTTGCTTCCTTTGGTCTTGCGTATTCGACAGTGACAATTTTTGTTGCAGGATTAGAGTTTTGCCAACAGCTAGGTGAGCAAGGGCTCGGGGCACATTGCTCGGCAAGCTATTCAAAGGTTGCAAGTTGCAGCAGTCCAAGCTCAAACTCGTATTTTTGGCAACATGGCAGGGGCCTCTGGCTGGATTCTACTGGCCGTGAGTCTCATATTTGCCGTTTCACACTCAATTCTAAATGTTCATCGCACTTTCACAGTACCGGAGCGATGCATCACGCGCCGAGCGACTCAAGCTGGCACTGAGCCAGTGGTGGATGTTGATCCACAAGCTCCAAAGGCGTCAAACAGTTTCAAAGCGCAGGTGGAGAAGAGGGCACGGGTGCTTGCCAAAACGGCTGAAACAAAAAAAAGGGTGGAGGAGAAGAAAAGGAAACTGAACACCCAATCAGATCGCAAGAAGACCGTGTTGTCAAATGACAAGCCATTGATTGATTGGGAGTCCTTGGCTGCGCAAGCCAAGCGTATGGCAGAAGAAGCCAAGGATGAAGCTGCAAAATCTGAAGGCAAAGAGGGCAAAGAACTTGAGGTTTTGGCAACACAAGCCAAGGGATCATTCTTTCAACTGGCTACAATTGGCTTTGAGACTGCCAAAACAGCTCCTGAGTTGTTGGCAGCATCCGCCGGGGGGACCTTGGTGTTGGTTTTGTTGCTGAGCTTCAGCTCAAAGCCAAGCATGGAATCTTCCCCAATCCGCCAATTCAGCTCTGCTCCCGCAGTCATAAGCTTGAAAGAAGAAACTCCGACGCCTCAGTCCCGCACTCCAGTGCCTCAGAAGTTGCAGGCGTCAAATCCTCCGAGCCCCAAGCCAGCCCCAAAGCCACAACCAGAAGTTCCTTGGGCACGTGGGTTGGCAGATTCAGCTGCAAGCACGCTTAGATCGATTGCAGATGGGCTGCCTGGAGCAGAAAAAATTGTTGAAGCCAAACTTCCAGTGGCGCAATCAGCTATCGCAGATGCTTCCCAGTGGGCGTCGGGTGTGAACCTGGAGAATGCCCCGGAAAAGGTCGAGAAAGATGTTCTCCCCTTTGCAGGTCGAGCTGCTGAAGAAGCACTGAGATTAGGCTTGAAAGCAGGTGCTGGTGGTCTTGACTTTGTTGGGGAAAACTTGCCCGCGGCTCAGCAAGCAGTGGGTTCTGCTGTAGACACAGGTTTGCCATATGCACAGTCTGCCTTGCGTGAAGTGGCTTCGAATGCTAGACGGCTAGCTGCAGAAGGCATTGAACTGGATTCATCCAACCCTTACGCCCAGAGTGCAGCTTCAGCACTTCCGGAGGTCTTAAAAGTTACTGCAAGTGTATTGGATGCTGCAGCAGATGCGGCACCAGGGGTGAAGTCTGTCTTGGGATATGCGGCTAGTGCAGTGACCCCTGTAGCTCAAGCAGCTCTGTCAACAGCCTCTGATCTAGTGATCGATGCATCTAATGTTCCAAGCTCTACGGTCGAGAAGACACTCAACGAAGCTGCTGGTGCAGTCGTGGACACTGCACGCAGTGCTGCAAAAGCAGTGGACTTAGTGAAGACCACTCCGGCTGCAGACTCCGCTCTGCAGCTGCTGACGTCTCAAGTGTCAGCACAACAAGCTCCTCAAGGAACAGAGTGAGATGCGAGGATTTAGCGGACTTTGCTTGACCGACCGAAGTTTGGGGAAACTAACATATTGGTTCTGTTTTCGGTGGATTTGAAATTTGTTGTTTGTCTTGTCCCCTTAGCGCCAATCAAATCGCTGCATGCGTTTTTTTCCCGCCATCAACGCTTGCTTCTTCAGATTGATTTAAAGGCATGTCACTTTCACATCACCATTAAAAGACCATGACGGCCGTGTGAAAATAATTGCTTGAAGTGCTTTGACAATTTGATGTGCGGCTGGGGTGTGTTGGGTTCAGGTCTGGAGTCATTCAAGGCCTGAAGGAAGAAAACACAGCTACTCAGCTTCCTTGTATGTACGTACGTGCACTCCTGTGCAACTTTTTTTGCTCCAGATTGCGAGTATGAGATTCCAGTGGGCCCTTGTGTTGGTGCTGCCATGGATAGTGCTTGGGAAGAAGCATAAGCAGTCTGTGTTTCGCTTGACCAATGGCGAGCCCGATGTCAAAAAGAAAGAGAAGGCGCGGAATGAAGTCAATTGGCGTACTCCAGATCAGTTTCCAGACTTCGGCGGCAAGTTTGAACGGGAGTGCATTAACTTGGTAACTTGAACGCAGGCATCCCTTTCAATTTTATGAGGTAACAACGTCTGATACCCATCAGATCCCATCAGTTTTTACTCTTCCCAAAGCAATTGTCCAATCGCAACAGAAGTAGTGCACTGGACTGTGGCCTGAGCTCACCAACAGGTGAAGGGCTTAGTACGGTGGTTTAGAAGACATGTTGACCAGCCAATGAGTGCTAAACGACTAGAGTAGAGAGACAGGATGCTCAAACCTAAGCCTTCCCTCACAGCTCTTTTTCGAAGTGCTCATGTTTCGATGCTCTTCATGATTTTGCTTCACGCATCGATATCCATTGCCAGGCATTCGAGGAGACTGTTGCCAATGCACGATTTGCCTTGGTGAACTTCAATTCGTTTCTTACGTATGAGATTCGGAGAATTGAATCGTTTGTTTGCGTTCTGTTGGTTTTAAACACACATAATATAATATATCCACATATATATAGCTGTATACTGATTTGTCATATGCATTGATTGAGTTCAACTGATCACCGCCTCAGCTTAAACAGTTGGCTGAAAATTTGCGGTCAGGTTCAGACCTTCTTGCAAGGAATGTGCTGAGTTGGAGACCTCAATGAAGGAGGCGTATAGAGGAGGCAAACAATACCGAACACAATAGGAAGTCGACTGAGCTGCTTCAGGTGGCCAAGAAGCTGAAGAAGAAAGGAGTGGTTTGCGGCATGATGGACGGAGATTTGGCTGTAAATGTCGAGGCAAAGGACAAGAATAATGTCACTAGTGGCTGGGCATCAATTTTTATTGTGTTGTCAAAGGTATGAGCACTGATACACTGTAGCTCATGTAGCCCGAATCTTTGACATTTGGTTCCCAGGTTTACCCACTTTGGTCTTCTTCAGAAGTGGCTATGGAATATCTAAGCAGGAAGGCTTTCAGTCAGCGATGAGCATTGAACAGTGGGCACTCAGGCAGCACTTCCTTTTCAAAAATGTGCTTTGCTTCTTGACTTCCTTTACTTCCTTTGAAGAGCCCGGTGAGGCCGTAGTAGCATGCGTTGTTCTGAAGAAACTGCTGCATGTTTCTGAGTCTGAGGTAAATGCAGTTGCTGGCCCAGAGGTAGAAGTCTTTGATACCAGTCTTGTCAGATCAAGATGTGGCATGATTCTTTCGAAGTGGAAGAGTAATTATTTGACCAACAGACATTATCCGGTATGACCAACACATGCTTATGCCATGTACAACTGACACTGTCCGATGACCTTGTTAGCAACGCCGCTGAACGCAACACCGGTTTGTCGATGTGACCAGAAAGACGAGTCGGCTGGATGAAGATGCTTTTGTTGGACCGCAAGCTTTCCAAGTAGATAGCGGTGGGCCATGCCTTTGTAGTTCTTGAGATTGCGTTGGAGTTTTGGTAGCACAATTGGCTAGACTCCTATGGGACACAGCATACCTGCGCACCCAGAACATCCGGCATTTTTGCCTTGGTGCAGATTCGCGGTGTCTGAGGAAAACCAAGCAGCGTTTGACAAGGCACTCAAGAAGCGCGAGACGCACGAAGTTGTATTTGCGGCCATTGGTGGTCCAAAGTTAAAGGACTGAAGTTCTTAGGATCACCTTTTTCAACTACTGTAAGACTCTGGACCCTCTGGCAGTTGTGTAGGAGCTTCTGGATGTGGTTGCTCTGAAAGGCCACCGAGATGGCTGGGGTTCTAAGCAACTTGGCTTGTATGCTGCAAGCATCAATCTCCTTGCAGTTTACTTTTTTCTTTTGTTTGACAAGAAGCTACTAGGGGCTCCTGGCCTTACTACTAGGAGCAAGGACGCTACTAGGGGCTCCTGGCCCTGCCATGGCTTTATGACGGTTCATGCATTGTGCTGGCTTTGAGGATTCGATATTTCTTCTGGTCAGATGGAGGTAGGGGCAGGCAGGGGCAGGTAGGTTAAACACCTCACCCGCAGTTGCTGGCTCTTGAGCTGAGCAGGCCGTTTGCAGCTGTCTACCGTGGTCTCAATGAAATGGAGCGGGCCACATCGTGCAAGACTCCTTTTTGTCCATCTCTCAATGCACAACTTGCTTGCCATCCTCTGTGTTTCAGGAGCACTTTGATGCAGCCGGTCAAATCAGTTCGGAGACCATCGAAGAGTTCTTGAAGGATGAATATGTGCCAGACCCTTAAAGTCAATGTGAGATGTGATTGAAAAAATAAGCTATCATGCACTGAGGCCAAAGTTTTCACAGGCCCGGGCATTCTTGGACTTTCCATTTTGAGCAGCATAGTGCACAGGTGACGGCAGCTGATATGAATTCTGTGTTTGGAGCTGGCACGAAGGCCGAGAGCGCAGAAAATGTTCGGTGAAAGCCGTCCCGATCATTTTGGCCCAGGGCAACGTCTTTGTTTGCTTTGACCCAGCACGTTTCGAAGCCCAGGTGAATAAGTGCCCCTGATTTTCACACGATCTCTGCTAGTTCTGCGTGGCAGCGCAGTGTCCTTTGAAGTCCAATGAGGTACACCAAGGTCTTCGTGAAAGTTGCGAGAAAGTGGAAAGGATATGGCTTTTCCTATTTCGACGCAAGTGATCCTTTCAGCAAGATCATCAGCATTGAGTGCCAGGACACTACATTATGTAGTTTGCAGACTGCTTAAACATCTTCGATTTAAAGATGACCAAGAGAAACTGAGAAACGAGGCGTCATTGAATGACAAGTCCATTGTCTTTGCCCTCAGGAATTCCCAGTAGTCACGTTGAAGCCACTGAGAAGGCCTTTTGCGAGCTACAACAAATCCTTTGCTCACCTTGGAGATGCGCTGAATGAAAAGCATATCAACGAGTCACTTGGCTCACCAGGAAGCGGCACCACCTTTCTGAAAACATATCCGCCTGCAGAAACCCTCATCATTGCACTGGTGTCTTGAGTCAAATCCAAGCTGCCAGGTTTATGAAAGAGTCAATAGCCGCTCATCGAAGTGCAGGAGCAGAACTGTAGCGGCTGTAGTACGGCTGTAGCGGCACAGATGCTCAAATTGTATTTCAATTATTGTGTTTGTACACAGTGTTAGCTTCGAAGAAGCGCATCGTTCCACAGACTGGTTCCTGTGTCTGCATGTCATCAAAGTTGGAAATTGCTCGCATTTGATACGCAGCATTGTTTCTTGTTGTGCATGACCTGTTTGCAGCGTCTATAACCAAACAATCTTGCTGCAGCCTTTGATTGTCAGCCTACATGCACTGTTGCTAGGTTCCACATCACATTCAAGTTACTGACAGTTACTGTACAATGCTTTATCCAAGTGAAAGGATAAGAAGCCAAGCAACGTTGGTCACTGTAGACTGTAGCTTTTTTCCTTCCTCTATGCATGCTCAGTCGTTCTACAGTAGCGAAATCTTGAACTTTAGAGCCTCGAGATGTCCTGGCTAACAGACACAATCGGCAAAGTCCGGGAGCTGGATACTGAGAGATTTGTGTTGATTGTGTTTCTTGAATTGGTTTTGAGGGTTTTAATTTACCACCTGCATGATTGTATATCATTTGAGGCAGGGGAGCTCATTGGTCTCAGCAGCTAAGCAGGCTGCGAGGGGTCCGAAGACCTTCGTCCAGCTGGTCTACTGGGTACAGAAAGTTGAATCAAACCGCTCAAACGGTGGGGCGCTTCTCGACTCTTTTGGCATTGAGGAGCTGCGCCCTGTTCTTTTTCTGAGCTTCCGTATGCGCATACACTGAGGATGTACTGATACACACACATATATATCAAAGCTAGTTACCAGTTGACCAGTGTGGAATATTGCCCAGCTTGGTTGGTTTCTGTTGATTTCAATCGAGAAGTTTCTTATCGTTGCAGACTTTCAATTTCCCATCACTTTGGTGGTTGTTTGGGCTTGTGCTGCTGGCTCCCTCATTGGCCTCGCTTTTCTGCAACATTATGACCTTGAGTGATCATGTTTGCGTCAGCAAATTGCAGTGTATGTGGTGCCTTGAAGTCATGTCACCTAGTCTTCAGCGCCATATTGTTGGAGCAGACTTCAGGTCAGGAGTAGACTCTCCTCGGAGCACGGGGATGCAGATGCACACTTGGAGTCAAAGGTGTTGGGCACTCAGACTTGTGCAACGCCTGAACAACATAGAAGGACATCAACCCGACTTTTTGCTGAGCTAGCCTGACAAGAAGGCTTTCAGCTGTGGCAGCAGGGCCAGGTGCAGCGGAACAACTGTGCCAGGCACCCGTCAATTTGGCAAGAGCAATTTGTTTTGCCCCTCCATGAATGCAGGCATGGTCGAGGCAGCTCAACACTGCGGCCAGCGTTTCCGGCAGCATCGCAAATGACGCGTCCTGCCGGCATGTTCTACCAGCCAGGGCTAGCTTCAAAGCGGGCCTGAATAGATCTCGAGGGAAGAGTAAGAAAGAGTTGAAAAGCGGATCTATTTTATACAATAGCAACAAATTCTTTGTTGGCAGCAAGGCACCTGCACCCACGCTGCAAATCCTGCACTGCCACAAACATTTGGCAGCAGCACTCTGCAGCGGCCTGCAGCGACACCAGCACGCAGGCTCCAAAGCGCAGACTGCCGTAGACATTTGGCAGCAACACCCTGCAGCGACACCCCGCAGCAGCACCTTGCATTGGCACCAGTACCGAAGCTCCAAAGCGCACGCGGCACATTTGGCCGGGGCCTTGCAGCGGCAGCAGCGTCCAAGCTCCAAAGCGCACACGGCGAATGACACTTGGCTGGCTCCTCGCAGCAGCAACCTGAAGCAGTACCAGTACACAGGCTCCAAATCGCACGCTGCCATGGACATATGGATGAGCGCGTCTTTCGCGGCGAGATGTGCTTCCTTGAATCGAAGGCGTCATGGCGCAAAGCCAAGCTTCAGAAAAATGCAGTCTTCTGGCAGCAACATCCTGCAGCGGCGCCAGCATCCGAGCTCCAAAGCACAAACTGCCATAGACATTTGGCAGCAGTGCCCGGGGCACCACCAGCATCAAGGCTCCAAAGCACACATGGGCCAGACACAGCGGCGCCAGCGCTCAGGCACCTCTTCCTACAATTGAAGTAAGAACCCCAGCAAGGCGGCTTATTGAAGGACGTTCGCAGAAGACCTAAGTTTCAGTGAAGCGGGTTTACAGATGCAGTGCTTGCAGCGGCAAATGCAGCCAGACGAAGGATGGAACAGACAACAGAAAGGAAAGTCAGATGGGGTTCCAGCAAGCAGAGCACGACCAAGGAGCAGACCCTGGACAAGACGGACGGCGAGGTAAACTTCCTGGAGGGCAAACGCATCAAAAACATCCAAGGAAAGATGAAAACGCGGGACAAGGCCTCAACGCGTACCGCTCCAGTTTGCTTGCTCAACGTTTCAAGCTCAGGCGGAAAGCCAGCGCGGAGCGCAGGGTACATGTGACTGAGTTCAAACAGGTGTGCGCAATTGCGATCGGCTCACCAGCGCCATGGGTGGGTATCGAAGTCGAACTGCTGGCTTGCTGGTGATGGGGGCACCCACACAGCAAGACAAACACCTTGATAGCGCTGCGGAAGGATTTGGGAACAGCAAGACGGGAGTCGTGAAAGGGGGCCAGAGCACACCCGAAAGATCCATGGCGAGGCGACTTCAACTGCCAGTTTAAGTGCGCTAAATGCCCCAGTTGGCAAGGGTGTGGCATGAATGAGAGCGTTAGCCACTGTGGCAAAGATTGATTCAGCTGTTCGTGCATTCAGTGTCATGATGAAAATCTAGACTCTCATCACGAAAGGTAGCTTCAGCTGCCTGAGTTCTCCTTGCTTTAGCAAAAATGTATTACAATCTGGAGTTGGGATTATGCATTGAGTTTGGTCCTGTAAGAAGGGATTCTGTTTCATGGGGGGCGCCCCCTGGATCAAACCCACCCTGCGCCGTCGCGGTTTGGGTGCAAATCTTGTTTTGCGCAGAGCAGCAGCACATGAGGAGTAAAACAGGCAGCAACGAGCAGCGCAAGAGAAATGAAACCGTAATAAGCAATCCCCTCTCATATTTCATTTTCAACCAGTGCTGCAACGCGGTTGGGACAAACAATATGCTCAGCTCGTGCCTCTCCAGACTTGGACTCACCCCTTGCGGTCCTCTCTCCTTCCCCTCCCGCCGATTTGCTACCTTTCGTTCACCCCCTCGTATCTCATTTTTTTTGTGGGACAAGTGCCGCCTCTGCAAGACGGTTTTGAACCTCCTCGCTTGGTTCCCTACTTATGCCACTAACAGCAGCAGGTTCCTTGGAAGCAGGATTTTGTGCACACAAGAGATGACTGGTGGTTCCAACAGTCGACCGTGTTCAAGGGCAGCCCAGTTGCGCTTTACATTGCGTTCGAGGTTTGCGTGTCTCAGTCGAGCTATTACGCCACGCATCATATTTTCATTGCGCCCACAATGCATGTCAGATTTTGGCAAACTTTGTTGCGCAGCCGAGCAGCTGGAACCTCAACGATGAATAGCGTCTAGCGTTTTTTTTGCAAACTCTGTTTTGAAGCCAAGGCTGAGTTGATGCTGCAGGGTCACAGTGCTCATCATGCTAGTCCAGCCAGTCCGGCACTCTGGCACCAAACCAGCGTTTCGATTCGGAAAAAACATTCAAAAGACAAAAGACAATTACATATTGAATGGGTCATTAAGGCCCCTACGATGGCAGTGCTCTTCGATTGCTGATTGCGCGTGTGCTTCTCTTGGTGATAGAACAAAACATGTTAACTTGTCACGTTGATCGGTCTCTGGCAATGGCTGCCTCGCATGTTTGGACAATGAGGTGCTTCCCGACGATCATGCAGCGCTTGGTCAGGAGATGGTGACCTTGATCACAGGTAGGCATGAGGGCAAAACATCAAAACGATCATGAGCTGTGCCATTTTCTGCAAGGCGAACGTGGAGACCTTGCCAGCGATGACCACACCAGATTTGCTTCAGAACTGCTATCCAGCACCAAGGCGTGTATTTGTCAATTGATTCATGAAAGCCGGACTGTTTTCCCTGTTGAGGTAGATTGGCGTTCAGAGGCTTGGTGACAGAGCTCCTTTTGAATGGATCATGCAAAATCCGCGAAAGGCCTATTTGGCAGAAAGATTGGAGCTCATAAAGGCCGCCGAGAAACAGTCTCAGGCAGCACCCATACTTGCCCCCAATTTCAGAGACGATTTGGGTTTGTAAAAATGTCAGACTGCATTTTGAATGAACATTCTCGCTGTTGGAGGATTTGCAGAAGTTGGGCATCAGGGCCGGGGAGCCTTTAGACAGGCTTGCTCAGATTTGGGCCCAAGCATTGACCCCTTTGAGACGTTCAGAGTGCGTTTTGCTAGATGGTCAGGCCAGCCCAACGTGTTCAGATATCTTCGCAACTACTAGGCACTGCTAAGAGGGACAGAGTACTGATCATGCGCTTGAATCTGGATTATTGGACAGGAAACTATGAGGTCGGAAGCATAGCAGCCATGATATTGCGTGAGAAGGTTGTGGCAGACAATACACGTTTTGACTTGAGGAGTTAAGTCAAAGCTTGGAGGAGGCCTTTGTGTGACATCTTCAGATTCTCCTTGGAGTCAGTCACACAGTATATTTTGTTGCTTTGGCAGGCCGCCAAGCATTGTGTCTCCACCGCCGAGGCAGATGTGATTTGGTCTCGTGAAACCATCTTTGCAACGGTCCAAATACTCAATAACAAAGAAACGATCTTTGCCCAGGCCCGCAAGCAAAGCTTGACCATGCTTTTGGATGGTGTAGAGGCTGATATGATATGTCCAAATTCTAAACCTAAAGTATGTTGGAACTGCTTGTTGGCTGTTGACCACCACTTGGACTTGGATGTGAAGGCATACGCGACATCGCTGGAAGGCCTCGTAACTGTGGACATCATCTTTTGGTTGACATGGCAACAACTAGAAAAGGTTTTCGCCAGTTGTCTAAACATGTTTCAGGTCTGGCAGGCTTGGGTGAACATGTATTCATTACTGCCATAGGTTTGAACCAACGAATGTTTTGGCTCAAGTGACTTGGCCAAAATAGCGTTTGTTCTCTCTTTTTGAGGGCGGAACCCTTGGAGAGACAGTTCTTTTTTGTGCAGGGAGGGACCCTGTTTTCCCATGAGCGAGTTGGGAACCAGTCTTGCTGCCTACACCAGGTACCAGGTGATCCATGCCGCCGCGTGGATGGAGTTCAGCGCTCACGCTGAGGGGCGCGAGCGGGACGCTTGGCGCCTCTGGGCCTCCGTGGTGGAGTTGGTGC